AGTGAGCTGGGAGGTTGAATCAGAGTCAGTGGTTTGAGGGAACATTCTCATCCTCATTGAAATGTGCCATATTTTCTTTTCCCACTAACTCTGAATGCAGCTTCCAAAAAAGTGGTAGACCAGCTTGGGAGTGGTACCCACAGCAAAAGGTATAGGTGACCTAGAACGATGTAGTAACATTGCCAGGGCAGGTATGTATCTTCTGGATGTTAATTCTGTTTCCTACCCTCCAAAAACCAAAATTCCATACAAAATGCAGCCCTCTGTGTATAATACAGTCAATAAATATCCTCCATCATTCTCTAGGGGTGAAGCTAGGTGTGGAATACTTTGCAGTTGCCACAGTCATCTATCACTTGTAAGCCAAACGGTAATTAATGTAGAAATTATAAAAATTCAGACTCTAGTAAGTCATTATGATTTAACCTGACATTTGATCCTCTTACAATGAAAGTGAGGTAGGACCTCCGCATTCTGCAGTAATTTTCTTCCTTGTAGACCTTATCCTCACCACTTTTTCAAAAGCATGGAAAGTTTGGAATCCCCCAGTCCCTATAGCTTATTTGTGTCAAATGAGTCACTGAAGAGAAATGCCCGTTATTTTTGCAGGGAATACAGAATGCCTTTAATCCCCTGTAGTCCAGCTAAGGCAGGTGAGAGCGAGAGTCTAGGCAGATGAGTGGATAAAGGGGCAAGGAGCTAATAAAGTCCACTGTCCTCAACTCCTTAGTTATGGTGGCGGTGGGGAGGGCGGCGGAGGTGGTTTCTGATGGCAACCACTAAGTACATTGTTTCTGCTTCTTCCCCCTTTGCAGTAACTCTTTTTTTTAAAAAAAAATATTTTATTTATTTATTCATGAGGAATAGAGAGACAGAGAGGCAGAGACATAGGCAGAGGGAGAAGCAGGCTCCATGCAGGGAGCCAGATGTGGGACTCGATCCTGGGGGGATCGAGGATCATGCCCTGGGCCGAAGGCGGCGCTAAACCACTGAGCTACCCAGGCTGCCCTCTTTGCAGTAACCCATGCACTGCTAAACTCATGCTTTGCATCAACTCATCATAATTTCAGATGTGGAGATGGCTTTGGCATTTTCTCTGATATAATCATTCTCCCTGAGCTGTTTTAATGTCTTGAGGAAGTTTCAGCATCTTGGGTATGGCCTCCGATCCTGATTGCTTGGGCCCAAGCCACAGCTGTATCTCTCACAGGGGGTGTGACCTTGGACAATTTCTTGCACTTCTCTCTACTTCAATTGCTTCATCTTTAAGGTGGAGATCATGATGGTGCTTGCCTCAGAGGGTTATAAGAAATCATTGAGGGGATCTTTGTTCAGTGCCTGTAGAGAGTTCGTTCTCAGTAAATGTGAGCTATGAATAGTGATGAGGCTATTCTATTTGCAGTTTACGAAGCGGATAGTCATGACCATATGTAAGAGGCATCGATATTATCTTAGTAAAGTCCATAAAATTTCATTTCTGGTCATAAAAATAATCACATGGGATCCACCTGGAAAGCTATCGTAGGTCCGATAGCACAGAGATACTTGTGCACTATAAAGACCCTTTCCAGATTCAGCCACCATCAAGAGTGCTTTGTGTTTAAGAGGTTGGTGAACTGCAAGTTCATTCAGTTCTTAAAGTTGATCCTTCCAATGGAGTCAAAGAGCTGAGCTTGGACTGGTGCCAACCATCTGGGCTTATAAGGGAGTATCATTGGATCACAAGTTCAAGGGGAATGACAAATGAGTTCTTGATTTTTTTTCCCTGTACCTTTCTAGTTAGGGTCTGGAAGGGTCTTCTTCCTTATTGAATATGACCTTTTAAGAAATGTAGTTTTCATCTTTCCCAAGGGAATCATTTTTCTTATGGAATTCAGTTTGCTTTAGGTTTCTTTCTCTTCTGCTGAGTTTAAAGGTGAGGCCAGGGCCCCGTGCATGTTTTGTTACTGACCTCTGCTATTTTTCTCTCAGCTCTGTCATAAATCTCATGATCCTCATCTCCTAGGCCAGCTCTTTTAACACAATCTGTTGTAAGATGTGCTGTTTGCTGAAGAACATGCAGCATCTCTGTTACCAGGGTGTGGTAGCATCACTGGGGCCCATACTTTCCCCCACATAGAGCCGGGCACTGTGGCCCCTCAAAGCCCCCCCCAAGGCAGAACCAAACGTTGCCAGGCGGAGTTGACCTGCTTCTGCATTCTGTGCAACCTTGGGCAGGTCCCTAAATTCCTTTGGCTTTAAGGTTTTTCATCTCTGACGCTATGAGGTGAATGATCTCAAAAATCCCATCTAGCGATCTCCTTCCCCTAAGCAGAGTTTTCCAAACTCTGTTCTGTGCTAAGTTATTATTTGTGCTGGGGTTAGGGTTCTCTGGCCAAATACATTTAGGAGATGCTTCTTATCTTACTCCTCGTCTCTTAGAGAATTACATGGCATCCATGCATATCAATGTCTCTGAGAAGTCCATGGTTAAGAAACCTGTCTAACAACGCTTAATCAAGCATTTCTCAAATATAGGTACATAGGCAAATTAAAGTGTTTTTATTCATTAATTTTGCTGACTGATGATTGCTTTCCTGGGAAGAGTTCTGAGGGGTTTTGAGGGAGAGGCTCATGCTCCAGGTCCTAGATGATTGAGTTATGTAAGGCAAAGTACACACAGCAGTAGTTCTGATTTTTCCTTCTTTTCGAAAGAAAAAGAGCATGCATGCGAGAGGTGATAGAAAGAGCAGAAAGAAACAGGGGAGAGAGAATCTTAAGCAGTCTCCATGTCCTGTGCAAAGCTGACTTGGGGCTGGATCTCACAACCCTGAGATCATGACCTGAGCTGAAATCAGGAGTTGGATACTTAACCAACTGAGCCACCCAGACGTCCCAGAGTCGCTGATCTTTAAATGACTTTGCAGAAGTACCATTGCCATGTCATTAGAATATGGTTATACATTTTAAACAATTTTTGAGCAATTGGTTTGCGGAGTCTAATAAATCACCAAAGTATTTGTACTTCAACTAACAGAAGTCAAATCTGGCAGGGGAGAGGGGGTGCGGAGGGCGGGTCATGGTTTGGAAGGAGCTACATTATTGGCTAACTGTTCACAAAGTCAAAGTTTCAATATTGGCTTGCCCTTCCACCTCCACAGTGCTGCCTTATGAAAGACAAGGAACCCGTGCAAGTTACTCTTCATTAGAGTCCTGGGTTAGCTCCAGGAAATAGTGGCAGCATGACATGTGGTTTCTTCCTCCCCCTTTCACATAAAATCCAGTAGGAATCATAATCTGAGATTTCAAGGGACTAGGAAAAAACTAGCTTCCATTACATTTGAAATGATGCTAATGGGAATTTTTTTAAAAATGCAGTTGTGAAAGATTTCTGTTCTATCATTTGGTAAGACTTCCGAGCCACTAACCAAAAAACATGAAAGCATGAAATCACTGTCATGAGAATGTTAGGCATTAGGCGTAATCAGAAGATTTCAATCAATGTGACTGGCATTTTGGCAGCAGCTGACATAAGACAGCTCTGCAGATGCCAAGCATTTTATCAACGAGTAGTCCAGTTGTGCTCCATTGTCTGGTGCCTGGTGCTTCGGCCAAGTCAGGAGGACCTTATCGGAGGCACAAAGTTCCAGGCAGTGGCCTGGACTAGGAGGCCAGCGGATGGGGTAATCCAGGACTATGGCTATCCTCAGAGCCAATCCAAAACAAAATAAGCCATCTCGACGAGGAAGAGAGTAAGCTGGGGACGTACAATTAATCGAACTTGATATTGAAACAATGTGATTGTGTGGTCTCTCCTTCCAGTGGGTAGATTATGGGCTTTATATTAAATTAATATCTCAGAATGGCTGCTCGTGCTTGTGTCTTTATTACAGGAATTGAATGATTTACCCTCACACTTAAAACAATTATGGCAGTTTCCTTCCACCTCTTCAGCCAGTAAACGTATCTGAGGCTGGGGATATTTGTCCTAAGTGTCTTTTCCCATTTAAACTCTATCTTCATAGTGTTTCCAGTTTGTAAAAGCCCTGGTGTTCAAAAATAACCAGGAGAAACGCTGGACTGTGGGTGGCGGGTAATCCAACCCAGCATCAGGGCATTCCTGACTAAAGGGAAAAAAATGCCTCTTTCCTGAGCCTTTCCGGATGAGGTCATTGTTTTCAGACAGCCTGTACCTAATATAAACGGACTCAAAGTCCACAGCTTGCCTCAGACCAATGTTTTGTCAGGGAAGAACGTCCAAAGCCACGAGGAATAGGCTGATAGTAAAAGGAACCTCCTCAAGTTATAGTATTTTTGTTAAATCCTTGTATTAAAAAAAGTAATAAGAGCCCATCTGGTGAGGCAATAACTCATTAAGTGAAAAATGAAGGCAAAAAAAAAAAAAAAAAAAGAAGGCAGAAGGCTTGGGAAGATCAGTCTTCTTTCTTTTTCTTCTTCTTCTTCTTCTTCTTCTTCTTCTTCTTCTTCTTCTTCTTCTTCTTCTTCTTCTTCTTCTCCTCCTCCTCCTCCTCCTCCTCCTCCTCCTCCTCCTCCTCCTCCTCCTCTTCTTCTTCTTCTTCTTCTTCTTCTTCTTCTTCTTCTTTCTCCTCCTCCTCCTTCTTTCTTCTTCTTCCTTCTCCTCCTCCTCCTCCTTCTCCGCCTCCTCCTCCTCCTCCTCCTTCTTCTTCTTCACCTCATGTGTTTGAGTTATTGTGAAATGACCGTGACCAAAATCTGGATTCCGGATTCTGCAGAGTGGAGGAAAATCCGAGGAACATTCTGAGCATGTTTTAATGCCGGCTTCTCAGAAAGGATGGTTTTCTGCAGGTGCAATATCGGAACTGAAGTGTTCTTGAGAGTGGTCTTCAGAATTGATAGGAGACAGAGTGGGGAGCAGAGGGGGGTGAGGATTCTGTACGTGAGGAAGGAGCTAGAATCATGCAGGAAACTTCTCGTTCTTCCTGCGCTGGCTGCGGCACACCCTCTGGGTGGCACACCCCTCTCTCGAGTCCAGCTCAGCCCACGAACTCCTGGGAGGAAAGCCAGGGCCCAAGCCTTTCCTTTGAGGAGTGGATGCAGTCCTCCCGTGTGGCCAGGCACCTCGCGAAGAAAAGCTGAAATCTTAGCTCTAAGATTTGTGCATGTTGATGACCTGGGGAGAGACTGAGTTCATGGAGCCTCATCACGTGGTTGAAGACACCCAAGGTTTGTTTGTTCATTTTTGTAAACGTGGCATGTGCACTGCCTGGGGCAGACCATGCCTTTAAAGATGGGGAGAGGGCAAGGGCATTTCCATTGGCTAGAAGTTTTATATTAAGTTTTATGCTTATTACAGTATGTTAACACTCTATTTATACGCATAACATATTTTTGTATAAAAATGTCTATCTTCTATAGCAACATATTTAAAGATATTATTAATATAATGGGGTCTTAAAATCGACATGACTTTTGTAGCGGGAATCCAGCAAAATTAAATTGAATTAAATTTAGACTGTTGGAGCACTTTAAAAAAAGAGTCTTCGGTGACTGTGAGTGAACCCTATGATCCCATTTCTGTTCCTGTGCTCTCTTTCTTCTATACCCCACTTCCATGACCATACTTCTGTGTTAACATAGCTTTGAGATGACTTCTTTCCTTCTCATGTTGTCCTTTTGTGCTCCTGCACAGGGCATGTAGGCGCTTTGAGTTTGGATGCCATCCCTAGAATGCTTCCCCTAGAGTTGGGTTTTGTGGGAGTTTGTTTCCTGGGGAGGCTGGCTTCAGGAGTGACCCAGCTTCTCGGGCTCAGCATCCCCAGGGACTAGCAGACAACACCCCAACTTCAGAGGTGGCCCAGCACAGTGTTGCGGGCCACCCCACTGAAACCAGCAGCCTGTGTCGATTCATGCTGCCTTTCTTGATACCGGATCCCTTAAGATAAGAGATTGTAACTTATTTTGGTTTCAGGAGAACAGGCTAGCGGATAATTCCACATAAGGTGGACACGCTCTCTACCCTCCCACCTTCACTCTGAGTGCTCTGCTCGTCTCAATTTACTGGGACCTCCAGAGGCCTTGGGTTTGCCTTCCTTCCCACCGGGGAGCCTGGCCGTGTTGCACTTCACATGTACACACTTGTTGGGAGGTACAGAGGAACTGCAGGTTGGCACACTCTATAACTGATGAATAATTTATGGTGGCTTCTTGTGCCATTAAACTTTCTCCTGCAAATGAACATGATTTTGAAAGACAGCGCTGATTTAAAACTCTAGTAGTGTTTCTTATTTTTTATTGAACTGCCTCATATATTTTGCTGGGGAGACAAAAGTTGGCAAACATAAGAATAATAAAATGTAAAGCTAATAGGGACCCTGTATGGGCGGTACGCCCATTCTATTGAAGCTTGTTCCTCCTTATTCTTTCTGAAGTGTGACATCCTCTGATGTTTTAAAAGGCCTCCAGATGCTTGAATAATCTCTGGGCTCTCCTAGAAGATAGAATCTGAATTTTAATGATAATGTGTGTATTAATTTTATTAAGATATTACTAGTATTTAGAGTTGGAAACTACGATTCGATGGCTTTTCCTAAGTGAAAGGGATAAAATTAGACTATCTCAAGATGTCTGCATATCTCTACTTGAATAAACTTGAAGCCCTCTGTTTTCCCTGCACTGTAAAAAGAGAGGATTTTAGTTTTGATTTCCAGGAAAGATAGGGCAGGTTTTTGAAAATCTTACATGATAGAGAGATTATAAGTAAACAGAGTAAGCCGTATATCTGATTATATTTTTTGAGGTCAAACTGGGGGGAAAAAAAAAAAAACTCTTTTCAAAAAAATTTCATTTATTTTTTCTGTTTTTTGACTACTCTTTCTTTCCACTCCATGGCATATTTTTTTAAGGGATTTGGAGTCTTTCCACTTGCTGCCAGCTGGAATTTACAGAAAGAGTATCTCTAGAACACTCAACAGTTGACTTGAATCTCGGTCATAATTAAATTGGAAGACTGGCAGATTATTCTAAGACTCAAAAACAGGCACACCTTATGTTTGGAACATAAGGACTTTGATTACTCTGCATTGTTTTAAAAGTATCCTCCATTCGGAAAATTGACAATATATTCCAATTACCTATTTTTTAAATAGAAGAATATTCTGAATGGATATATAATGAACAAGCGTGACCACTCTTAAATTTTGTCTCTTATTCCTGAAGGTGGATCCGTGGTGCTTTACAGCTTAAAGCTTTCTCTACTCGCCCTTCCCTCTTTAATGAGTACATCATTCTGTCCTTTCTTGCCTGGCACACCTTGAAGGCATTAGCTAGTTAGATGACTGTTGATTTACTACCTTGTACGCTAAACGATATGCTTAGAGCTGGTGTTTGCATACAATTAATAGTAATTTGGGCATACAAGACACCCAGCCTTCTCTTTTATATTAAAATCTAACTGTTGGGGTGCCTGGCTGGCTCCGGTGGTGGAGCATGCGATTCTTGATCTCAGGATTGTGGGTTCAAGCCTCACCTTCGGTGTGGGGATTACTTAGAAATAAAACCTTTTAAAAAATCTGATTGTTGACTTGCACTTCTCTGTCATAACACATATTTTAAAAGTTGGAGTGATAGGATATCAATTCAGAATACTGGGATTAAGTTTGTAAGAATTCTAAGTGCCCTTCCTTTCCAAAAAAGGGGGAGAAAATGCAACGTGCTTATGAGAACTCCTTTTAGATTTCATCTGAGAGAATGGAATGCTGGACAGGTTTTTCTGCTTTACGAGGCAGTCACAGCTGCCACTGCAAATGAGCTCTGCCAAGGTCAGTGACCAGTGAGTCAACTAGAGCATGACATTGCCAGGGACATGCCCAAGCAGTGGGAGCAGGCTGCCAGAGCACTGGGTATTGGGTTTTCATAGGACAGTCAACAATAGAATGAACTTTAAGAGCACTTGTCCCAGTCACCCCTCCCCTGCAGTAGATGCTTGCAGGCTCCCTAGATGCTTGCATGCACCACAGTACCATGACGACCCTTGAAGACTACTATCATGAAGATCTTAATGGAACAGAAACTCCTTGAGCCTGGTGGTACTCTTTTTTATGATAATTTTCATGGGAATCATACTTCACACTGACACGTGAATTGAAGTGGTAAAGAGCTAAAAGGTGAACTGGAACACACAGTGCCCTTAGAAAAAGGGTCACCACAATAGGGGAGTGGTATTCTTTTGTGGAAAGCACATCTTTTGACTATTTTTAAATGATTTCAATGCTCTGTTTTCCCTATATTTCCTATATAAGGTGTTGTTGGCTATGTGAACCCTTACGTGCAGGTGCAGATTCATGAATTTGATTAGCCATTTTACTTCTGAGGCTCTTGGCCTCGCCCATGTTTTTATTTTACCTTTTTTTTTTTTTTAAGTTTAAAGGAACTCTCACTGTAATAGTCTGTCTCTCTAATTGGTAGCTTCCTCAGGGAGGGTCTGCTGATGTGTCATAGAGCCCTCCCTGGACTTGGCATTAAAGCAGTTCATTAATGTTCTGTTTGTTATCATTAATTTACTAAGCATCTTTCAGCAGGTGGCAGGTACTGTGCTAGGTACTGTGCAGAATAAGTCTGTCATTTAATATCTATAATCTTGGAAGGATCACTGGCATTATGTGCCAAAGATGAGCTGAGCAATTCAAGTACATGACAAATTAATAAGCACCTGAACAGGGTGAAGAATGCAAGGATAGGAATATAAGATGTTAGGGGAGGTAGTCACCTCAGGAGATTAGGACACTGGCTAGAGAAGGCTGAAGTGCTCCTTGGAATAGAGATGAGCCCAGTGGATTCAAGGGTCACAATCTGACCACAGATCACTTCTTCTGTGGCTCTAGCGTGGAGGAAGTTGCCTCTTGTTCTCAAGAACCATCTCTGCCGCCGCTTACTGCCAGAGCCATAAGGGATTGGGGATTTATTTTCCCCTTGCTAAAATGGTATTCTTTGGTGAATTTCAAAGTAATTTTTTCTAATGTTAACCTATAGTTTCAGACTTGCAGAAGGAAAGCAACTTCCCTCTGGATACAGAGCTCCAGAGGCAGAAAGATTTGGTTCCCATCATGGCTTTGATATCTACTAGCTGTGTAACCTTGAGCAAATGTCATAATTTCTCCAAGCCTGTTTCCACATCTATAAAATGGAGGTAATAGTACTACCTGCTTTATAAGATCATATTAAATGAGTATGTTTATGTTTAAAAAACTCACAACAGACTGCCTTACATTTAACAATGAATGACTTATATAATTATTGGTTATGGTTCCACCTGAAAAGATGTAGATGCTTCCAAATTATTTAGTTTGTTGAACACTGCCTTAGAATCCAAGACCTTGATTCTAGTTTGGTTATTTTATTTTTTTAAATTTTTGTGTGTGTATTTTTATTTTATTTTTAATTATACAAATCATATGAGAATAAGCTCTCACTGTAAACATTTCAAATAGTATATGAAAGGCAAAAGCTTCCCTTGGCCACCATCCAAACCTAGGGGGTAACTACTATTATCAGTTTTATTTATTCATTTTATTTTCATCAAAGTAATTCATGTCCCTCATTCTACAAACAAGAGTGTCTTCTCCCGTGAAAGGGAGACAAAGCAAGAAAATCAAGGATTCTAAACTTTCTCTTGCCTGACTCCCTAAGATGACACATTTTCTCCCTGTTCCTAAGTGTGGCTCTTTGTTTATCTATCTCATCGTTTCTTCCGACACATGACACATTACGGTTTTGGAAAGTTTGAGGTGCCAAATTCAACCTTTGTGTTTAGATGTTATCCATAGTCAAGAGTATAGAAGAGTTAAATCCTGACCTTCCTTTGTAGAAAATCAATAGGTAATGTCTACCATGAAAAAAAAAATCAAGAGATGGCCTTATAAGCATCTTCTATATGGAGATGGAATTAAGGATGAGAATAAATAGCTAAAGAAAATTGAAAGAGATTGCTTCCTCTCTCTTATCCCATTTCCACATACAGGGAAGGGGACCTCCCAGCTTGGCACAGCACCTCAGATCCTTTTCAGTGGGCATCTGTGAAGAGATGTCTCCAGGCACAGAGACGATGAGGAGGGGAATAGAGGTGTAACTCCTTCCCATAAACACTGTCAGGCCTATTCAGTCTTATCCTACATGCCTGCCTTCAGCAGTACGTACCTGGTGCCCCCAATACCAGACCTTTCCTGGTT